GAGTGATACAGTCTTGAACACACATCCTGTAATATTGTCCAGGCCCCGTGCGGCCAGATCTGCCCTTCCGTTGATCAGCACTAGCCAGTGTTATCCATTGCTCTGCCAATCGCCTAGTACTGCTTCCCGCATCCACACTCAGCTCTTCAATTTTACCACTGTCGATCACAAAGCGTATACCATCAATTGCGATACAACGAGTGGTATGCTGTTACAGGTATCGACATACGTGAGATCTCGGGCTCATCTCGTATAGCGTTGCACTAGGTCTCCGGTGCAAAGGGGCGGAGCTCGCTGAGCTTCCTGTCAAGAATACAGCGGGCTCTTATTGAAATTATTTTGTAAATTGGGTGACTAAAAAACAAAAAGTTGCCGAAGGTTGGCTGGCGTCGTCGACGTGGCCGACCACTTTCTCCTTAAAGAGACATGTGAGGAAAGTGATCATCGTGGTATCCGATCCAGGGTCGTTCGGTTGCGAGTCGTGGTCACTAACGTACTGAGCTAATAGTTCATCTCTTGTGCGAAGAACCGTTTCGTCAAAAATGAGCGGGCGAAGCAACAGACACACTTTCGCTATATTTTTACGCTGATTAGCAGTCAACGGGTGACAGAATGATACCCTGTTTGTCTTCTGAATCGCCCTGGTCGGGTCGAGATTTTTGCTCACGCACGCACGGACGGACGGACGGACGGACGGACGGACGGACGGACGGACGGACGGACGGACGGACGGACGGACGGACGGACGGACGGACGGACGGACGGACGGACGGACGGACGGACGGACGGACGGACGGACGGACGGACGGACGGACGGACGGACGGACGGACGGACGGACGGACGCACACGAGTGTTCGTGAGCAGTAACATAAGCTCCGCTCGCTCCGCAATAAGCATTCAATCTCCTGTGCCCCACTCAGGAAGATCAATGCATCACCACTTTGGCTCTTGGGAGTAGTGGTCTGGATTTTCTTGAGTAAGGCCAGGTATGGGCCTTACTGCACTCTAACTCTGTATTCCAAGCGAGTTAGAATAAGGGGAGCTCATCACAGGAAATGCCGCGT